TTTGGATCGAAAAAGGAAGAGCAGCCAGACGGAGGGGGTCCTGCAGACAGCCTGGAAGAGATGGACGGAGACCCAGCAGGAGCAGAAGGAGGCGCGGCCAGAGACACGTATGACTTGCGGCTAAGAGTTCCCAAGTAGCTCTTAAGAACTGAAAGATTTATAACTGAAGTGGTTGAAAGAGACTCTGTGCACACTGAGAAGAAAATAGACAATTACTAAAATGGACTTACTAACTCCTAAATTCATTGATTTAAACGAAAAGTTTTAAGTTTTATGACTAACTGTATACTAACTGAAAAAGACCTTCCTTTCTTGGGTTTTTAGTTATAATGTGGGTTTTTTCATTTACTGTTTGTACCCCGGGGTTTTTTATTTTTCTTTCCCTTCCCTTTTTCTTTTTCTGTAGTCACGTAGGTGCAACAAAAAATTAATAAAACTACCCTGCCTTCAGGGGATTTTTTTTAAAAAAGTTCATATGCATGGGAGGCGTCACTCCCCCACTCGCCTCACTTTCTGTTCCATGGGGTGGGGAGCTATCTTTTCAATTTAGCCGGTACGCTTTAAATGAACTCATGTTCATAATTGGTCCTCAGACCTCGTTTTAACTCCATTTTTGCACTCGATCTCCTGTGCTTGCCCCGGTCGGCGTCACTTAGTTCCATTTGGCCACACAGCATGAAGAACCTTCAGAATGGAGAGATGCCTCAATTCCCTGGCATCACGCTGGCGAAGAGGCGAACTCTCAAGAGTCCCATGGCCAGTGACCCATCAACCGGGTCTCTGGGGGGGTAACGATCCTGCACACCCCCTCCTTCTGCTGGTGCGCAGCTTCACCCCCGGGAGGTCTGGGAGGTGAGTCTTCTAGCGCACCGCCATCAACTGGAAACTCCATGCTCCCATTCTCTTGGTGGGGGGGGAGACAGAATTAGATTTCACTAATGCCTTAATATCTCAAGGCAGATACTACATGCGCCGCATTGTATCACTTCCTAAACTTTTTAAATATTTACCTTTCAGGAAACTTTTTATTTGGTAAATAAAATCACTTTTGCCTGCTTTACAAATTAGAAAACATTCAGTCTCCTTTGTTTTATAATATCAATTTCTTCAGTGGAAGTCCTTCCTTCCATCATTCTTTAATTTAAACCAGTCATGGTCATCTGGTAACACTCTGGCAAAAACTACTTTCAAAAGGAAGGACTGTGGTTTTTAAAGTGAAAAATTAAACCATAAAATTCTAACAGTACAACTCCAGATGTCATCAGTTTATATTTTAGTTTCAAAATGTGTTTTAGAGTGCTATGTGCCCAACACTTGGGCCTACAAAGCTAATTTCAATAATTTGTGCATAGATTCAATAATTTACCCAAATTGCATTTTTCAAATAAAATCATAACACCTGATGACTTTAAAAACCAATCACAAGTCCTTTCTGCTTTGTTGCACCTAGACTTTTTTCTTATCACAGGAAAATGCAAATAGAAAGATAATAATGGATCACCTTTGAATCATTGAGCTAAATGATGTTGACTCCTAACACTAAACACCACTTTGCACAAGATAAAATTTTCTTCATGAAAGTGAACTTTAAAAGTAGGAAACTGTCTTACACACCACAGTCCTAAAATCAATCTGTAAAATGTTTAGATGGCAACTAAACCCCATGCTAACATAACTTGGAGAGAAATAAGTGTAGTGCCCTGCCAATGCCACACTGGCACAAGTGGATGATTATCATCATCATCATCATCAATTAGATTTTTACCCTGCCCTCCTGGCTGAGGCTGGCTCAGGATGGCTTACATGAGAATAAAATTCCAACAGTATAATATAAAAGTATAACATCTGTTGATACAATAATAATTCTTAAAAACCATAACATAGTCATATAGTAAAGTGCTAGTACTTCGTTTCCTAATCTTACAGTCAGCTCACTGATCTTTTTCAGTTGTCCTGGGCAATTAGCTCGGGCGGTAACTGGAAGACCCAGGGGGTCAGGGCTCTCCTGTCATAGGCTCTCAGTTGGCACTGCACTGGGTAGTACTGTGGCTATTTGGTATCCTGGAAGAGTACCTAGTTGGTACCATGCTTTTCTTTCCTTTTATTCCCTTAGAAGCTCATTGATTCATAAATTTTGAGCAGTGGAAAATACCTATTCCTTATTTTTTTTGGATACAAGCGCTAAAAGGGCTGAAGCAATTGCTAAGGTAAATTTAGGATCCTTATTGCTAAGCAAAAGGGACAGGGGTTTCTGGAGTAGAAGGGGATGATTGGTTAATTAAAGGCTTGATATAATGATCCTTTATATTTTCAAAAAAAACCTACATTCAAGAAGGGCATGAAAGGATGTATCAATCCTATTAAGGCCACAAGGGCAAATTCTGTCGGAATAATGCCTATTCAAAAATCTGCCCTGTAAAACCATTGTAGGTATAATATTCAATCTTGCAAACAGGAAAGATCTGCAATATCATGGGATGGT